TAACTGAAGCCAGATCGTCTGGACAAGTTACAAGGGGGCTGAAGACAAGGCCTAACTTGGTGGACAGGATTTAGAATTACCTTTGGTTCTTTGTTTTTTACAATGACAGGGGCTATCCAATGAGGGAATTCTTGCTGTTCAACTAAATAGAACAGTTGCATTAAAACCATAAATAAAAGTTATGCAAGGTGCCCTAAATAAGTGATCTGGAATAAACCTAATAACGGGCTTAACTGGTACTAAGCAATGGCTTGAATACACTCAGGCTAAGATTATTTTCTCTGCTAAAAACAGTTGAGAAAAAAAATCTTCCATTCATTGCATGATTAGAACTCTTGTCATACTGAAGAACTTTGGAAACTTTAAAAAAGCAGACATGGCAAATAAGCAAGCAGACAAGGGTTAAATACATTTTTAATTCTTTGAATGTTTCATTTTTATTGAAATAAAAGACTGAAAGGTTTTATTTTATTCCATGGTGTTTTACTGTGGTCTGTTGCCATTCAGCCACATATGAAATTTGTGCATTAGATTTTTTTAAAAAGTCACCTATTAGAATAAATGGGATCTTGAGGTCTACAAAATTACATTCTGCTTATGCTATGAGAGCAATCACCTATAGAAGTTTAGGTTTTGGTGGTTGAGCATCCAACTCTTGATTTCGGCTCAGGTCATGAACTCAGAGTCGTAGAATCAAGCCCTGCATGGAGCTCCGTGCTGGGCGTGGAGCCTGCTTGAGATTTTCTCCGTCGTTCTCCCTTTGCCCTTCCCCCCACACTCACACTTTCTCCCTCTCACACAATATAAAACTTAACTAAAAAAAAAAAAAAAAAAAAAAAGTTTAGGTTTTGATATAGTCCCATAGCTCAGGGTAGTAGAAAGCATGTTTTCTTCCTGTAAAAACTGCCAAAATTGGGAGGGCTATCCTATTTTTAAGAAGGTATAGTTTCTCATAAAAATTTTTTTAATGAGTTAAAACCATAAATATAGGGGCACCTGTGTGGTTCAGTCTTTAAGCGCCTGCCTTCGGCTCAGGTCATGATCCCAGGGTCCTGGGATTGAGCCCCACATCCAGCTCCCTTCTCTGCAGGAAGCCTGCTTCTCCCTCTCCCATTCCCCCTGCTTGTGTTCCCTCTCTTGCTGTGTCTCTGTCAAATACATAAATAAAATCTTAAAAAAAAAACTCCTAAATATATATCCCAGCCTTGAACCATACTTAACCTTAATGTCATTAGGCTTATAGAACATCACATTAGAAGCAAGACTGAGGTTTTTAGGATAAATCTTTAGTATTTATTATGCTTTATTATGTAAATTGTACATTTAGTAGCACTAAGTGAGGGCTTAGAAATCATCTCTTTGTGAGAAGAGTTGGAAGTGGACCCCCATGGTACTCTCCTTTGAGTGGGAAAGCTGATAAACCTTGCAAAAGGGTGGAAAGTATAAGGCAGAAATTTATATGATGATACATTAAGTAAGGCTTCCAGAACTACTGGAGATTTAGTTTAATGGACAGTGACTTCAAAAAATACTGTAGATAATTGTAGACTGCATGAGTTTGAAATCTAGCTCTGACAGTTATTGACTGTAACACCTTGGACGAGTTAATCTCTCGGTTCCTCAATTTCTTTATCTATGCAATGGAGATGATAATAGTACTTCTTAGGATTGTTGTAAAAATCAAATTAATTAATGATAGATTTAGAAATCAATAAATGTTAGCTCTCATTACTGTATTTCAAAGCAAGGAAGAAGTGTCAGCATTTTAAAAAAATGTTGCAGACACTATTGTCTATAAGTTTGTATTTTTAAAGTGTAATATGTATACTTTGAATTCTTTTGTGATATATTGTGTTATTTACAGTTATTGGTTCTTATTAAAGTATGTAGTTTTCCTAAGGAAAAACTGAACCTGTTCCCTACGACTTCTGTGTTAAGTATATTTAAATAGTCTGATTTATTTTTTTAAATGTGCATTCTTGTTAATTCATTGTTATTATTAACAGCAATTATTGCACCATTACCCTCAGTTAACTAAAATTACCTGGATTATGAGACATTAAGAGAGTTGGGTGTGGTAGCCTCAAAAGAGATGAAAAAGTTCTTGCAGCATAGGGAAGTTATAATTTTTAAATCATTAATAGTTGTGAAGCATACTAAAGAGAAAAGCTGGATGCCTCATTCAATCATTGTAAAATTCTATAGTCAGTTACTGGGAAGACCAACAAATAAAGTCATCACATATTTATTAAATGCTTTCAGGCTAGGGCTTGTTGGAAAATTATAATTTAGTTGAGGGAATAAAACAAACATGCCAAATCTTAATAATAAAAGAAATAAGGGACCATAAATGAGTACCTGATTAATTACCTAAGTAATTTGCAATAATTAGTGCTGGAAATCAGAAGAGAAAGAAAGCTTTTAGTGTCAGATTGATGGAAATTTCCTTCAAGGAGGAAGCAGTATTTGAGCCAAGTTTTGGTTGATGAAGAGATGAGAGATAAACAGCAAAAGGCAGCTGAGGTCAAATAGTAAAAGATCATGAATCTTGCCAAAAGACATTGGGACTTGAATGCATAGCTGTAAACCAGAGGCAGACTTGCATCCGATCCTGCAGATTGGAGAGGTGGGACAGATTCGTGTTCATGAAGACATTTGGGAAGTCCATGATTGTTTACTAGCTATTAAGCAGCACTAGGTCTGGGAAAAGAATCAACTTTAGTCATAAACTAAAAATTGATGATAACTTAATAGAAAAACCTGGTCTTTACCAGCACATGCATATAGAAAGAATACTTTATTAGAAGCACCTCCATACTAGGTAGGTAAGTGAAAATAAATATAGTTTTCTTCAAAGGTTTAGTAGTTAATTGAGATCACCATCCTTATGTAGAGCAGAGACTTGGATATTTACCCCTACTTATTAGACTTTTCTTTTTCAGAAAGAATCTAAAGAATATGTGCATATGAATATATTATTTTTATTACAAAGTATTTCTGGACCTGTTTATAAGAAGTTTCAGAGCTAAAGTGTTAACAGCCTATTTCATATTATTTTTAGTAAGTTATGTTAGTGTGTATGTTGAAGGAAATGACTCAAGACTTTTTCTTTAAAAAAATTTTAGCTTTGCTCTTAGAGCAAATGACACTAGAAGAGCTTTTCCCCCCTGCAAAGTTAGGGACAAAAAATATTTAATTCTGAGACATTAGGGCATGTTTGTAGTTATATGTGTAGTTTTAGGTTAAATTCTCATTACAAAATATCTAGTTTTTTCTTGTTTGCCACAGTATTTTGTTGATTACCTATACAGTTTACTTAGGAGAATAGCACAACTTACAAATTATATTATCCACAAACATTATTTTAGTTTATCTACATTGATTTATTGCTAAAATCTTATTTACATTTAAAGTTATTTCTTATCTTGAGCATCTCAGGATTATCCTTTAAGATTAGAAATATTACCTTAGAATAAAACTGAAGAAGTATTTTTATAAATGCTAATAATGAGTCTAGTAGTAGTGTTCATAAATTCTTATACCACTATTTTATAGGAACTGTAGACCTTTTGCATTATAATCACCAGAAATGTCTGTAAAAATAGACAATCCATGGCCTTAGCCTAGTTTCTCTGAATCAAAATCTCCAGCATGACACCTGGCAGGAATCTACATTTTAAAGTAGTACCTTTCGTTCCTTAAGTGCATTGTACTTTGAAATTCACTGCAACCACCATTTATGTCATACTTGTTAGTAATCAGATTAGCAAGTTTTCAGTAGTTTTCATAGATATCTCTAGACAGCATTTTTTTGAAGTTAGTCTTATTGATCTGTAGAAATTAAATGGAATAATTGCAGTGAGATTGTTTCTTCGCCTGAAGAACAGATATCCTTCCTTAAGTGGCTTTTTAAAAAAAATATCTACACCCTGGCCCAATATCTAAGAAATATACCGCGTCTCAATATAGATAAAAGTGTCCCATGTGTTTTTAATGTGCAGCTGCGACTGAGAAACTACACTGATGAGAGATCTACACTAATAATCATGTTGTTTAATCCAAAAATTATTGATGTTTGGCTTGGGAATCCATAGTACTCAAAACCACATACTAAAGGTATGGCACTTCAGCCTCCAAATCCTATTTCCCTAACTGCTTGTCTTAGGCTTTTTTAAAAAATCAAGGAGAGTCAGAATCAAAATCTTTCAGCAAAGAACATTTTCTCTGGATAATCCTAATTCTCTCTTAGTGGCAATTTCTCTTAAAAGACTTCTGCAAAGTTTCCCTAGATTGGTGGAAAGTACTGACTGGGTGATTTAAGTGATACAGACCTTTTTTTATGACGACAATAACTAGTTGATCTCTATGATATTGGCATTTATAAGCAACTCAGATGTAATCAAGAATATATTTTTGTAATCTATTTTGAATAAGGAAATATTTTCTAGGGTAGGGCTATGTTCATGTAGGACATCAGAATCAATGTATTTAAAATTATATATTTTTTAATGTTTTATTTATTTATTTATTATTTATTGAGAGCGAGCACAAGTGGGGGCCTGGGGGGAGAGGCAGAGGGAGATGGAGAGAGAGAATCCCAAACTCGGGGCTCGATCCCACAACCCTGAGATCACAACCAGAGCTGAAATTAAGAGTTGGAAGCTCAACCAACTGAGCCACCCAGGCATACCTAAAATTATATTTCTTAACAATGCTTGTAGAAGCTAAGTAGCCAGATAAAATTAATACTGTAGAAAGTATAAAATTTTATGACATGAATCAAAATATGTGTTTCATAGAAATTTCTGATTCTTCTAAATGGAAAAATCTCATTATTATTACTGTTTATTTATATAAAATATATCCTATGAGATACACCTCCCCTTATCCAAATTTACTAAATAAAGTCATAAAGAATAATTTTGACATCTGCTTTTTTATTTAAAATAAATGAAACAATATATCCTCAAATTCATGATATTTTCTTGTTTCTTTTTTAGATGCTTTTTGAGGAAATCAGTTTCTACGTGTGGGAAGTAGATATTGAAGGTTATATGGTTTACAGACAAGATCTTTAAAATATAGATACTCAAGGTAAGTAATAAATACAACATCATGAATAATCTCATCTAAATGACTAGGATTTCCAGACTGTACTTTGAGTTGCTAAACTGGCTTTATCACTGGCCCTACCTAAGCAACCTCAAAACCACATTCATTCATATTCAGACACAAATTTGTATGCCCTGACACCATCTTGACAGGAAATAATCATATTTCATTTATAACAGACAATTGATAAAATTTTATGGAAGTGTACAAACCAATTAAGAAGAATGGAGAAGAAATGAAGCAGCTTCCATTAAAACTGTGAGCAGAACTCGGTAGTGTTTAATTTGAAAGAATAATTAAACAAAAACTACTATCCACTGCACTTTCTTCTTAATGTACTATATTCATTAATCAGTTCCCTAACTACATTAGAAACTTGTTCTTTAACCACTCCAAAAAACCCTGTCATAGTTTCAAATACAGTATTACCTCTGAATACCAAACCTCTTTTCACTATTTCTCTAATACCCAAAGATTTGTCTTGACCCATCATATCCTTTCATTTAGCATGTTCTGCTCATGCCTCCCATGACTGCTTACATGCTTACATTACTAAGTAAATTTTTGAATATATTTTGGTAAAATTTTGAGTGAGATATGAGGAGTACAAAATGCAAAAAAAGGTGTTTTAAAATAATGTTGCATGTCAGGCAGTTACAATGTAACCTTGGAGAGTATGTGACCAGTAAATGGGGTGCTTTTGTTCAGCTCTAGAATCCTCTCTAGGTGGAAATAAGAGACCTGTAAAGTCTGATTTTATGATGTTTTCGGAAGAAACAAATATGGATTTTGAAAAGTTCTAAATTTTAATGTCAGCACAAAATTTTGCCTGTGAAAAAACCTACTTTTGCCAACTGTGTGAACCAAATAAAACAGTTTACAGCTTCTGGTGCGGAAATTTTTTCCCTTTGTTCTATTTTTCTTTATTCTTTTAGAGTGCAAGTACTTTAGAGTCTATTTTTTCTCCTTAATTTGTGGGTAGCAGCTTACTGATTTGCTAGTTTTTTGTGATGAATATTGTCAGAAATGACTTATCTTGAAAATATAAATGACATTACTTATTTCTAATTCATTTCTATAGTTACATATGGTGAGTTGGTTACTTGGAACAGCTATTCAATTGTTTTCTGAATTATAATAATTAGACAATTATTTTTGTAGTTCCTTCATCTCCACAAGCTAAAACCAGATCTTTCCAATTTAAGAAAAAATAGCCGTTAAGGAATCTTTTTTTTTTAAAGGATCTTTTGCATAGAAAATAGAGCTAAACATGCTCCTTAGTTCATTGTACATTGTCATCATTGGTCCATGCAAAGTACTGATGTTATTTATTTATACATTTTATTTTTGTTTCTAGTCCCATACTCCTGACCTTGACCCATAGAGAACCATTCTAATATGATAGTCATTATAATAACTACTGAAACGCTCTCTTTGGTTTATATGTATTTTCATAATGTGAGTATTGTTTTATATACATGTTTTTAAATATTTTAAGCAGAAAATTTCAAATAAATAAAAGAAAAGAGAATATATTATGACCCTTCATGGATCTCTCGGTTGGGCTTGCATTAATTATATCTCCACCGTGCCCCCTCCCCCATTTTATGTATGCAAAATTTTATTATGCATATATGATATTATGCTGTGTATCTTGTTTTGTTCCCTATTTTTTTTTACTAAACCGTATGTGTTTATCATTTACTTAACGTTGTCATGTTTACATTGCTTCTAACTGCTGCATAGTATTCCACAGTTTGTAGCTACCATGTTTTAATTACCCATATTTCCCAGTGATTGCCACCCAGATTTTCTGTCACAACAAACACTGCTATGATAAATAGCCTCATACTTGTTTTATCATAAAACTTTGCAAGGATTTCTTTGTGATATATATCCAGGAGCACAACTGCTGGTAATAGGATACATGTTTATACTTAATTTGACCAAGTCCTGCCAGTTGCATTCCCAGTAACCCTCTCATTCCTGTCAACCCTTGACATTATTGAGCTTGCTAGTATTTTCCATCTCACGTGCATAATTTTATAGCTTATTGTTTTAATTTTAATTCCTCTTATCAGTAATGAGTTTGAATACATTTTCATATTTTTATTGGCCTTTTGGCTTCCCTTTTCTGAAATTGCTTGTTCATACTATTTATTTTTCATATGGGTTCTTGTCTTTTGATAAATGCTCTTTAAGAGATTGTTGTATATTCTAGATATTCATTTCCTGTTACTTTTAGATATTAAAAACTATCTGCTTCCATTATTTCAACTTTTTAATTTTGTGCATGATGCTCTTTGAGTAGACATCAATATTTTAAATATTTAATTAAAATATTTTCTTGATGTCTGTTCTTTGTGTAGAGAAATAGTACTGATTTTTTGAAACTTTATCTTGGTTTTAACAACATTGCTGAACTCTCTAATTCTTAACAGGTTCTTTTTTCTAGACAGATGATCATATATCAGTTCCAAATAACGAAAGTTTTCTTTCTACCTCTCCCATCCTCATACTTTTACTTTTTTCTTCTTTCTAATACCTTTGATCAATTCTTCTGGAAGTATGTTAAACAAGTAATAATGGCAGTGGGCATCCTTAACTTATGCCCAGTCTTAAAGAGGATGTATCTAGTATCTCACTTCTCACTTAAGTATAATGCTTGCTGAAGGTTTTTAATATATAACCTTTACTAAATTAAGAAAGTTCTTCTATTTCTAGCTTGATATGCATAAATAGCTATTGAACCCTATAAAATGCATTTCATGCATCTTTGAAATAATCACATGACATTTATCCTGTAGTATATTAATGCTGTGAATTATATGAATAGAATTTCTAATATGAAACCATCCCTGCATTTCTAGTTTACATTCTACTTGATCATGGCGTATTATTTTTAACACGTTATTTTTTAGTTAGCAAATATTTTATTTAGGATTTTAGAATCTACATTGTTTAAGTGTAATCTGCTGTAGTTGTTTTCTCTTCATTTTCCTTGCCTTATTTTGCAATTAAGATTACACTAGCTTAATAAAATAAGATGGGCAGCTTTTACTCATCTATTTTCTGAAAAAACTTTACAAGATATGAATTTACTATTTCTATTAAAGAAATAGATGTATGTTAAAAGTCATGTTAAATTATCTGGTTCTGAGCATCTTTTTGAGATTTTTTTGAATGCTATTGATGTCTTTAAGCAGTTTTTGATCTATTCAGATTTTTTCCTCTGTTTCTTCCAGTCTCCTCCCATAGGTACTGATGACACCTGACAGTCTTCTCACCTGCATGTATAGCCCAGACCCAGTTTCCTTTGACTGGGGAAAAACCTAGACAGTCTCAGTGTACATATCTAACTGAGCCATGGAATGGTCACCCCCCGCCTTTTGAACTGACCAGGGATTCAGTGTTTTAACTCTGACCAATGGGCTCTGATGTTGCTTCACTTAAATTCCCACTGCCACATACCTAAATTAATTCTGTACTCCATTAGTTCTCTACTATTCCACAAACAGAAACTTTGGTTAATAATGCCCTGTATTGACTTCTTTCATCTTCTAAAACTGTTGCCATACTTCTGGTTACATGTGTTAAGGTTATGTAAAAAGTAAATATTTTGACAAAAGAATAACTAAGATATATAAGTTCAGGGAAGGTAAGTATTGGTAAAAGATAGGCAATCATCTGGTCTAATGTCCTTTACAGTATATACCAAATTGTAGTTAACTCTAGAAGATTTTCATTTCATCTCCAGAATTTGAAACTTTATAGTAACCATGTATTATTAAAAGAAAAATTAAAGGTATTTCCACTTACAAAAAGAAAAAAGAGTAGAGATTATAAGCGAGAATTTCATAGACCCACTAACAAGAAACTGTCAAGCATATAATGGTTATAATTTTTGATACAGTTGAGTGTTTCTACCATCTTATTTCAGTTTTTTTCACACACTTTGTGTATCTTCTTTTTAATCTTTTCTTACTTAAAAATAACAGCTTAGTATTTGTATATCTTCCCTAAAGAGATTCTTATACATTCTGACATCCTGTTGTCTCTCTCACCTTCCCCAATTCCATCATGTTAAAACTATCTAAACAAAAAACTCTTGCAGTCAATTTTTCTTTTTCTTTGCTGCTAGCTACTTTTAAAGACAACAAACTTTACCAAGATACTCTATCAGCATTACTTTATACACCATTGTTTAAATAAGTGTAGTATTTTTTCTCTTTTTCCTTTTAGAAAAAATATTTTAATTCCAGTGCAGTTAACATACAGTGCTATATTAATTTTAGGTGTACAATATAGTAATTCAACAATTCTATACATTTTCAGTGCTCATCACGATAAGTATACTCTTAATCCCCTTCACCTACTTTACCTATCCCCCACCCACCTCCCCTCTGGTAAACATCAGTTTCTTCTCTTTTTTTCTTTGTTTTGTTTCTTAAATTACACATATGAGTGAAATTCTATGGTACTTTTCTTTCTCTGACTGATTTATTTCACTTAGCAGTATGCCCTCTAGATCTCTCTATGTCATTGCAAATGGCAAGATCTCATTCTTTTTATAGCTGAGTAATATTTCATTGTGTATATATACCACATTTTCTTTATCCATTCATCTATAGATGGAGACTCGGGCTGTTTCCATATCTTGACTGTTGTAAATAATGCTGTAATAAACAGAGGGGTGCACATATCTTTTCAAAATAGTGTTTTTGTATTCTTTGGATAAATGCCCAGTAGTGGAATTATTGGATCATGGCAATTCTATCTTTAATTTTTTGGGGAACCTGCATACTGTTTTCCACAGTGACTTGCCAGTTTGCATTCCCATCAAGAGTGCAAGAGGGTTCCTTTTTCTCCACATCCTTGCCAACACTTGTTGTTTCTTGTGTTTTTCATTTTAGCCATTATGAGAGGTATGAGTTGATACCTTGTCGTAGTTTTGATTTGCACTTCCCTGATGATTAAAGATG